GGGGTTGAGGGCCCCCCCCCAGTGCACAAATTTTTGTGCACCAGGCCTCTAGTATATACATATAATTTGCATGATTAAAAATTACCAACAAACTAAAAGGGCCTGTTTGCCAAAAATAAATAAATAAATAAATAAATAAATAAATAAATCTTATTAAATTCTTAGATTGAAGCAGTCTACTTTCTTACTTTTGTTTTTGTTGCCTGTGCTTTTGGTGTCACATCCATGAAATCATTACTGAGAAGCTTTTCCCCTATGTTTTCTGCTAGAAGGTTTAGTTTCAAGTCTTACTTTTAAATTTTATTCCATTTTGAGTTGAATTTTTAAAATATATATTTTTATTGATTTCAGAGAGGAAGGGAGAAGAAGAGAGATAGAAATGTCAATGATGAGAGAGAATCATTGATCAGCTGCCTCCTGCAAGCTCCACACTGGGATGTGCCCCGACCGAAATCGAACTGTGACTTCCTGGTTCATAGGTTGATGCTCAACTACTGAGCAATGCTGGCCAGGAGGGTTGATTTTTTTTTGTAAGGTAAGGTATAAGATAAGGGTCCAACTTCATTATTTTATATGTGAATATTTTGTTTTCCCAACGCTATTTGTTGAGGAGACTATCCTTTCCCTATTGCGTGTTTTTGGCACTCATGTTGAAGAGCAGTTGACCGTATATGGGTGGCTTTATTTCTGGGCTCTATATTCTGTTCCATTGGTCTGTGTATCTGTCTTTATGCCAGTACCATACAGTTTTGATTACTGTAGATTTAATATATTTTTAACTCAGGATGTGTGAGTCCTCCAGTTTTGTTCTCTCTGATTGATTTGACTATTGGTCTTTTGTGGAGCCACATGAATTGCAGGATTGTGTTTTCTTTTTCTGTAAAAAATGCTATTGGGATTGTGATAGAGATTGCATTGAATCTGTAGATTGTTTTGAGTAGTATGAGTATTTTAACAATATTAGCAATTCCAGAAAGGAAAAAGAAAAAGGAAGAAAAATTACCAAATAAATGATTCAAAATTTTCCAAGAACTGAAAGATAAATGTATCCAGCAAAGTATATGAAAAAAAAAACACACCTATATCATAGCACAATATCAGACCATTTTAGAACAAACAGATAAAGAAAAGACCCTAAAGTGTCAAGAGTAAGGAAGAAAAAATAAATGGTCACACAGAAAGGCTTATTGGTCAGAATGGCATGGGATTTCTCAGTAGCAACAGGGAAACTAGAAAGTAGTGGGACAAAAGCGTCAAAATTTTAGGGAAAATAATTTGTTACTTAAAACCTATAACAAATTATATAAAATTTATACACAAAACATTTGAACTGGGTGTGTCTGTATTCCAAATTATTATATTTGGCTTTAGAATTCATGTTATACAAAATATTCAACAATAGTTAATGTGTAAATTATGGTTTTATTTTTAAAAATTAGTTATAATTCAGGTATGAACATAAGTCCCAGTTTCAGTTTATATGTGTTATTATTAATAGTGTATTTCTTTTACTTTTAATAGTGTTCTAGATTGAATGATAAATTATATTACTAAGTTATGCCTAGGGGATTCAGGGAAGATTGCAATATAGATGAATAGACATTTTATCTAGGGGAATAATTTAATTTAAATTGGGGGAAGCAGCTCAAAAAAAGGGTTTTAAACAGCTGGGTTGGCTTACCAAGCCAACACTGCTAACAGCATAGCTGATAAAGGGACCAGGAGTTTTGCTGCAAACCTGGCTGTTTCAGGTTCCTGCTTCCATACCTAGGGTTCTTAAACAGTTTTGGGCTGAAGACCCCTCTGAAGCTGATCAAAACAATGAAAAATGCTCATAAACCCACATGTGGTCTCAGGGGCTCACAGGCTCCCTGATACCCATCCTTGGATAGACTTCCACTGGGATCCATAAGTGCTGGGTTAAGAATGAGGCCTATAAATTACCTATGACCTAGCAATTTGACTTCTGGATATATAACCCAAAGAATTGAAAAGAGGGACTCAAACAGATATTTGCACACCCATGTTCAAACCAGCATTATTCATAATAGTCAAAAGGTGGAACCCAAGTGTCCATTGATGGATGAACAGATAAACAAATGTGGTATATCCATTCAATGGAATATTATTCAGCCTTAAAAAGGAAATTGGAAATTGTGATGCAACATGAATGAAGCTTGAATACATTATCATAAGTGAAATGAGCGATTCACAAAAGGATAAATACTGTTTGATCCACTTATATGAGGCCCCTAGTGTAGTCAACTTCATAGAGACAGAAAGCAAAAGAGTTGTTGCAAGGGACTGGGGGAAGGAGGAATGAAGAGTTATTATTTAATGGGTACAGAGTCCCAGTTCTGCAGGATGAAAATGTTCTGGAGCTGGATGGTCCATCGCACACTCTACATCCCCACCAACCAGCATGAGACACCCTCAGGACACAGGCTATTGGGCTTCTCATATTCATCCAGAGTAAGAGGAGCAAGGACATCTGGGACCCGAACCGCATAGACCGAGGACACTGCAGGAGGGGGAGGCACAAAGTCAGGCACCCTTAAAGGACTACCTGCTCTGACCTGGGACCAGAGGAAGACAGTGCAGTGGAGAGCTTGAACAGTCAGAAGGCATGACCAACAGCTAACCCACCATCAGGAGCAGATGAGTCTCCATAGCCTTTCATGTCCATAGCTAGTACCCGGAAACCCGCCTGGACCAGAGCTGGGATCTAGAAAACAAACAACTCAGGTACATACAGGGTAGTCTTATAGTGTTTGGCTGACACTCCCTCTTTGCTTCCTCTATCCCCATGGTCTTGTAAATGGCTCAATCCAAAGCGCCACCTGACATTACCAGGTATCTCCATGGAGCTGGAACGAGCCCACCTGGATAGGGCTGCCATGGACCACTGGTGGTAGGGTTTGTGCACTGCATCTAATGCCGCATCTAAGGGAGCACCTTTCCTAACAAAGACCTTGTATATTTCTATAATCATTACAAAGACTTCCAGGAGATGGCATAAAGTGTCTTGAAGAAGTCTGCTTTTTCTTCTTTACTCTGTAAAGGTGGTATATGGACTAACACAGCTCTGAGGTCTGGAGCAATCTCCAGCCCCAACATTTCTGCGGTATCACAGCCATACTTTGGCAACAATGCTCCACTGTAAGGTTTCGCTTCTTAATGACGTTCGGGCTGGGGCACACCATGAGGCTTTCTCCTTGCCTCGCCTGACTGGGGTACCTTTACCCAGTTTTCCTTACCTGGTACCTCCAAGAGAACCAGCTCTCAGGAAATCCATGGCAGAGGCACACAGCAGGGCCAGAGCCCAGCTCCACGAAATGCAGATGCACCCCGGGCTGTGGAAAAGAGAGGTGAGCAGGAAGTCACCACACCACCAGGCCAGCCAGAACTAGACCCCGCTTCGGCAGACCATCCAGGCCATTTCAGCATATATCCAGATCTTGTTTGGACAAGATTTCTCAGCCTAAGACCCCAATGCTGAAAGTTGTCTGAAAAGGGACAACTCGCCAAACTGTGCAATAAAAGCAGGTGGCTTTCACTGTAACTTATATAAGAAGCTTGAAAAGAAGATTACAATGGGGGAGAAAAACCCAAAACCAAAAGAACTTTGCATCTTCCTTAAAAGGCCCTTATACTATTGGAGTCTCTGGTGTGGTTTGTCATGTTTTCAATATTTAAAACTGGGGATCAGTTTTGTGCAGAGTGTAATCTTCATGCTAACATGCAGAATACCAGGATTATTTGGTTAAAAGCTGTTTGTATCTTGAATATGAATTTTTTTCAAGTTCACTACAAACTTCTAGTCCTTTCTGGGCTACATGGGTGTGGCAGCAGCTGCTAGGGCTCAATATCGGTGCTCTTCTCCTGGCACATGGTGGCATTTTCCAGCTCTCCCCCCACGTCTTTGCAGTGGGTATGGCCATGTGACTGAGTTCTGGCCAATGGCATATGAGCGAAAGAAATGTGTGCTACATCCAGGCCCTCCCGTGCTTGGTCCTTCCTCTCTTTTTCTGTCTGAACCTGAATGGATTGGGCCTTGAGGAAGGTGGAACCAGCAGAAGGAAGGGCCTGGGTGCTTGAATGACTGCATGGAGAGAACCCACTCCTCACCCACACTGGACTGTGCTGTACAAGAAGCAGACCTGGTATTCAGCCACTGAAAGCTGGGTTGTTTGGGACAGTGCTAGGCCTCCTCTGACTAGTACAGTGGGGTCTAATCAACCAAAGCAATTCAAAATATAGTCAAAATATAGCCTATCTTTCCCAAATGTACATATCTCCAACTTATTAATGGAAATGAATGAGAAAAATAATCTTCACATTATAGAAATTCATTCAGGACAATTCCATCTAGCTGCATCCCAGATTTCTCCAAGCTGGTGTTCCAAACTGGAAGTTTGGGTCATGATTCCCAACAAGCTATTTTGCTCAAGAAAACATTAGGCCAACTTTTCACAAACCCATTCCTGAACTACAATCTTTTTATCAGAATATGTTCCACTGCCTTAGCCGGGTAGCTCAGTTAGTTAGAGCATTGTCCCTATATACCAAGGTTGTGGGTTGTGGTCAGGGCATATATAAGAATCAACCAATGAATGCATAAATAATTGGAACAACAAATCAGTGTTTCTCTCTCTCCCTCTCTCAAATCCTATATAATAAAGGGTAATATGCAAATCAACTGAAGCAGAACAATCGAGTATGCCTGTAGTCCCTCGCCCCAGCCGGCTGGCCCTACCCAGGAGCGGGCACCCCCATCCCGATCAAGGGTGGGGCCGGCTGACAAACCACCCACAGCCCTTTGCCCAGCCAGCCTGCCCCCGATGGCCACTGGACCCCACCAGTGCACAAATTTGTGCACTGGGCCTCTAGTCCAGTGATGGCGAACCTTTTGAGCTCTGCGTATCAGTATTTTGAAAAACCCTAACTTAACTCTGGTGCCGTGTCACATATAGAAATTTTTTGATATTTGCAACCATAGTAAAACAAAGATTTATATTTTTGATATTTATTTTATATATTTAAATGCCATTTAACAAAGAAAAATCAACCAAAAAAATGAGTTCTCGTGTCACCTCTGACACGCGTGTCATAGGTTCGCCATCACTGCTCTCGTCAATAAAAAATTTTTTTAAAAGAATATGTTTCACAACCGTGCCTTTAGTACTTGGTAAAGGGAGGGAATTTAACTTTAAACTTCATACTCCTTATATTGAAAAATGTTATAGTGCTGAAGTCCACTCAAACGATCCTCATCAGCCTCTGTTCTAAATGGATCCTAACTAAAGGCCCATTTTGCTGCTTTGTATTTGACTCAGCTGAGTAGCTCAGCAAAAGTGCTTTCCCATCCTTTAAATGACATGTTAACAAAATTGCCTTAAAGCTGGAAAACGGGAAAGATCTATTACAACCCAGTTTGGGTTGCATTAGCATCCAGGGAGATGCATACAACAGCACCCTCTGCGCCTGGGCTCAGCTGGGGCTCCCCAGAGGTCACTGCTCCAGCTCTTGAGTCTGGGCGGTGGCAGGGGCAGTAAAAACAGTTCTGAACACCCTTCTTCAAGGCAAAATGAGGAATCTATCGCAAGTGGTGGGATATGCATCAAGAGGATGACAAAAATAAGTCTGTCCATGGGGTTGAAGATACAAGGTTACAGCCCAGACCCCAGCCCCAGGCAATGAGCCCCTCACTCTTCATCAATATAGAGATGAGGTCTGAAGCGACCTTATAAAATGTTCATAGGAGGGGCTACACTGACTCTGACCCGTAGCTTCCAGTACTACTTTCTTACACTCAACTCCTACCCATCCTGTAATGCCCACTTTACCATGTCGGCTGCACCCCTCTGCCCGCATTTATGGCTGCTGCCTGCATATGGTCCGTGTCTTCTATTGATTTTTGAGAAATTATGCTTGTGGGAGATATGATTTCCCTATAAACAATGGCTATTCAACTACCCTTGATATTGAACAAATGTCTCTGTGAGTCATTTTAGGAGACCCAGTTAGAGTACTCAGCTGACGGAGGGAGAGTGCTCACTTACCTTGATTGGCACATAACCATGGCTCATGTCATTTGGATGGCATGGGATTGGGAGAGGGGCTGCGACTTCTGTTTTGAGAAGCTGCAAGTAGAAGGTACACAGTGAGAGGTACAGTGAGAGAGGTGTCTTCTGCTTCCTTCCATGAGGGGTTCTCAGAGTGAGTTTCCAAAACTCCAGCGAGCTCACCTCCCACAGCCTCCATCAGGGACTGACCACCCATCTTCCTCTCCTGCGGCACCACCATCTCATTATAAAGCTGTGAACACTGAGATTCAGAGTGATAAGAAATGAACCTAAATTTGCCATCTGAGAAAATGCCAAAGCCAGGATTCAGACTGCCTCTGTTTGATTAGAGCACAACTGGACGTCATTTCTTCTTCCTTTCAGTTTCGTGGAGGCCCTTGGCTGAGTTCTGACGGATGAAATGCAGACAGAAGAGTATGGCCTGTCGGCCTTGCCCATGAAAATCCCCACCTGATCCTCTACGTCTCTTTTCCTGATTTCCCAGTTGAGTGTCCGATGTGAACTCGGAAACCACAGGTGGAAGATGGTGGGTCCTCCATCAACCAGATCCTTGAATAGCTGGGCAAAGCCAAGCCCCTGGCTGCCATCAACTGCTTTTACATAAGCAAGAAATAAATACCACTTGCTCTAAAACACTGAGATGTTGGGCTTTAGTATAATTCTTCTCTAGGGCAGTTCCTCAAGGGGTCACCCAGGCTCATGTTGAATACTGCCAGGAACACAGAGTTCCCAGAACAGCCAGTTGTACCACCATGGTATGGCTCTATGGCTCTGTTGAAGGGTTTCTCCTCCAACTCAGCCAAAACCAAACTCTCTGTGCCTTCGTTGGTCTGCTAGGGTTGCCATAATAATGGACCATAGACTGGGTGACTGAATCAACAGAAATTTATTTTCTCACTATTTTCAAAGCTAGAAATCCTAAATCAAGGTGTTGGCAGGGTTTGTTCCTCCTGAGGCCTCTCTCCTTAGCTTGTAGAAGGCTACCTGCTTGCTGTGTCCTCACATGGCCTTCTCTCTGTGTGTCTCTGTGTCCTAATTTCCTCTTCTTATAAGGATAAGAGCCATATTGGATTAGGGTCCACCCTAATGACCTCATTTCACCTTAATTCGTTCTTTAAAGACCCCATCTATGGCTGGTGTGGCTCCATTGGTTGAGGATCATCCCATGCACCAAAAGGTCATCGGTTCGATTCCCACACAGGACACATCCCAGGTTGTGGGCTTGATCCCCAGTGTGGGGCATGCAGGAGGCAGCTGATCGAGATTTCTCTTTCACATTGATGTCTCTCTCTCTCCCCCTCCTTTCCTCTCTCTATAAAATAAAAAAACCAATGGAAATAAACATATTTAAAGGCTCCATCTATAAGTACAGTCACATTCTGAGGTCCTGGGGCTTAGGGTTTCAACATATAGATACAATTCAGCTGATAGTCTTCTGCCTGCATGCCACTTTCTGTCCTCTGGAGTCCTTGGGGTTCAGATAACCCATCTTTTTACAGTATTCAGGTAAATTCCTGAACAAAGTGTCCTTGGGGCTTCTATAACTTATTGGTGTCAGTTTCCTGGAGACAGAGATGACAAAGGACGATGAATACATGTACGTGAATGGAGCAGCATGTTAGTGACTTCTGCTGCTCAATTTCTCATCTTTAGTCCCAAAGGTGCAACCTGAGGAAGAAGCACTCCACGGCCATGCAGTATTCTCACCTCTAAAATGGGGGAAATAAACTGTGAAATCCACCTCCCTTTTAAACATGGGAGAGTTTGCATAGGTGTCCTCAGAGGTGGAAACAGGGTGAGCCCTCCACCTCTGTGGTGTCTAGAGAGGACCTGGGGTATGGCAGTGGGGATGGGGCAGGGGGTGGGCAGTGTGGTGCCCTCTGATGGCAATGAGCCTTGTCTGGCCAGAGGAGTCAAGACATGGACCACTATGGCCAGTGTCCCTTGGGGACCTTCTTTTGATGTGTTCCCAGCTTCCTAGGTCACTCACCAGTGATGCCCCACTGCTTCCCCGGTGGAAAGGGTGGGGGTTTCCTACTCTAATGGTTCTCCCATGTGTTTGTACAATTTACAAGCCTGTTCATGACTGAGTCCCACAGCCTTCCTGAGAGATAAGAGGCATGTCTCTGTTCAAAAGGGACTGATTTCCATTTTTCCTTGTATCTTCCCCACCCCCCTGAGGAGAAAATGGGTGAGACATGCCTTCCTTTCCCAATTTTACAAAACAGGAATCTGTGGCTCAGATGTGATGAGGGGGCAAACCTCGTAAATGGGACAAAAAGGTGGATGCTCTGTCCCAAGTCTGGGCACTTTCTTCTCTGCTGGGTGAGACTTCCAGGCTTGTAGAAGGACTCAATACGCTTGTGCCAGATGCTTTAAGGTTATGAAGTCACTAGCTATACATTTTTATTTATTTGTTAAAGACAAAAAGGCAATTGTTCTGAGCTAAATTGTGTCTCCTTCTGTTGAAATCCTAACCCTCAGGGCCTCAGAATATGACTGTATTTGGAGAGAAGGTCTTTAAAGAGGTGATTAAGGTTGAATGCGGTCCCTGGGTGGACCCAGGGGAGTAAGAATCCCATTTAACTGGTGTCCTTATAAGTAGAGGAGATTAGGAAACACACAGGGGAAGACCGTGTGAAGACACAGCAAGAGAGCAGCCATCCACAAGGCCAGGAGAGAGGCCTCAGAAGAAACCAACTTGCCAACACCTCAATCTTGGACTTGCAGCCTCCTAGTGAGACTGTTGTTTCAGAAACCCAGTCTGTGCTGCTTTGCGGTAGCCCGAGGAAACAACACAATTCCCTTTAAGAAAATGGTTGTGACGCCTTTGAAATCCATCTAGCACAATCAAGTGTATGGGCTCCCTCCTCCCTCCTCTCGCATTACACTGACAACCCTGAGCAAAGCACCGCGTTATGCTAAAGGTTTGTGTAACTGTCACTCCTGGACTTGGTGGGATGGGTGATCTTAGGTAAAGTCAAAAGAACAAAAGGTTCCTCAGCTTTGGCAGAGCAGGCTAATGGCCAGGCAGCCCCCAGGGGGTGATTAAGGACACCCCGTCCTCAGTGTGAGAGACAGATTTTACATAAAAGCCTTCCTTCAGACTGGCATGAGGGCGTAAACCAGGAGGAACCAAACAACTACACCCGAGTGCCAGCGGCATGACCTGGCACACAAGGTAAGAGCTGGGTTCAGACCTAGCCCTACTGGGGCAGACCTAGCAGCTAGATTTTCAATATTCACTCTAAAGAGTAAAAAGGGGTGGCTTTGAAAGCCCCACTCTTGTCTTGGTTCCCCTGCCTCTTACTAGTACAGATTCTTGCTCTCAGAGCATCATTTCTCTGTCCACTGACTGCAGAGAAAGCAACAAGGTGTTCTTCAAGGACTCCATGATGCTTGCACAATGGGTAATGAACTTCCACCCAGGAGGGCTACCTGGGAACCATGCCTGGAGCAATGAACTGCCTCCACAGTGGTTCTCCTCTGACTTGTTTTGTCTCATGTACCTAAATAGAGACAAGAAACAGGATATCCCACTCAGCACAGATGTGCAGTTACCTGCACCCCGGTGACTTTCTCCAGCTCTTGCAGGGCCATGTCACTGTCGCGGACAAGGATGGTGACCATTCCTAAATCACGGGCTGGCTTCAGATTGGCCCCAATGTCATCCAAGAAAACAACCTGAATCCAAATAGCATGGACACTAGCATCACTTCAACCAAAGTGAACTTCATGCATGAGAGACAACACCAAAATAAATACATTAATTTGTAAATAATGACTATCCTATATAATAAAGAAGCAATATGTAAATTGACCCTCATGCCATAACACTGTCACAAGATGGCGGTGCGCACAGCGGGGGCAGGGCCGGCAGCCGCTCTGCGTGGCCCAGAGGCGGGGCATTGGGGCGGCACTCCAGAACTCGGGGCCATCCCATGGTGCACCAGCCACGTGGGGTGGGACTCCAGGACTTGGGCAATCCCATGGTGCAGGGGGGAGGGGTCTCGCGTACTTTCGCGCTACAGGTCACTAGTTTTACAATAATGAGATAAAGAATGATTTTTCTCTCCATGTAACTTTACTCTTAAAATTAAAAACATTTAATTACAGAAGAGTCACATAAACACACAGATATATGTGTTCCCACATACACCTACTGATTTCAGCCTGAATTCTGAAGCTGTGAGAAGATTAAGGAAGAATATAAACTATCAAAATGACATTAAAATTCATCTAGAAAGATCACACATGTGAATCGACAAAAAAGTATGTCTGGAAAAGAACTGTAATACATGCAGATAAGAAAACAAAGCTATAAAAGGTTAAAAAGTAAAGTTTGGTACTAATAAAGAAATTAACCAAAAAATAATAATCAATGAGATAGAAGAGAGTCTAGGAATAGACCCAAATACAAATTACAGTTTAGCTTCTAATAAAAGTGTCATGTCTAATCGATGAAGAAAAAGATTATTTAAAGATTATTTAGCTACTAGAGGCCCGGTGCACAATATTTGTGCACTGGGTGGGGCGGGTCCCTTAGCCCAGCCTGCACCCTCTCACAGTCTGGGACCCCTCAGGGGATGTCCTTAGCGCTGCCACGGAGGCCGAAGCAAGAGAGGCTCCTGCCACCGCCGATGTGCTCACCAGCCATGGGCCCGGCTTCTGGTTGAACGGTGCTCCCCTGTGGGGGAGCTCCTGCATTGAACATCTGCCCTCTGGTGGTCAGTGTGTGTCATAGCGACTATTCGTTCCTCTGTTCGGTCAATTTGCATATTAGCCTTTTATTATATAGGACTAGAGGCCCGGTGCGGGTGGGGGTCCCCACTGGGGTGCCTGGCCAGCCTGGATGAGGGGATGATGGCTGTTTGCAGCTGGTCACACCCCCTTCAGGGTGGGGGTCCCCACTGGGGTGCCTGGCCAGCCTGGATGAGGGGATGATGGCTGTTTGCAGCTGGTCACACCCCCTTCAGGGTGGGGGTCCCCACTGGGGTGCCTGGCCAGCCTGGATGAGGGGATGATGGCTGTTTGCAGCTGGTCACACCCCCTTCAGGGTGGGGGTCCCCACTGGGGTGCCTGGCCAGCCTGGATGAGGGGATGATGGCTGTTTGCAGCTGGTCACACCCCCTTCAGGGTGGGGGTCCCCACTGGGGTGCCTGGCCAGCCTGGATGAGGGGATGATGGCTGTTTGCAGCTGGTCACACCCCCTTCAGGGTGGGGGTCCCCACTGGGGTGCCTGGCCAGCCTGGATGAGGGGATGATGGCTGTTTGCAGCTGGTCACACCCCCTTCAGGGTGGGGGTCCCCACTGGGGTGCCTGGCCAGCCTGGATGAGGGGATGATGGCTGTTTGCAGCTGGTCACACCCCCTTCAGGGTGGGGGTCCCCACTGGGGTGCCTGGCCAGCCTGGATGAGGGGATGATGGCTGTTTGCAGCTGGTCACACCCCCTTCAGGGTGGGGGTCCCCACTGGGGTGCCTGGCCAGCCTGGATGAGGGGATGATGGCTGTTTGCAGCTGGTCACACCCCCTTCAGGGTGGGGGTCCCCACTGGGGTGCCTGGCCAGCCTGGATGAGGGGATGATGGCTGTTTGCAGCTGGTCACACCCCCTTCAGGGTGGGGGTCCCCACTGGGGTGCCTGGCCAGCCTGGATGAGGGGATGATGGCTGTTTGCAGCTGGTCACACCCCCTTCAGGGTGGGGGTCCCCACTGGGGTGCCTGGCCAGCCTGGATGAGGGGATGATGGCTGTTTGCAGCTGGTCACACCCCCTTCAGGGTGGGGGTCCCCACTGGGGTGCCTGGCCAGCCTGGATGAGGGGATGATGGCTGTTTGCAGCTGGTCACACACCCTTCAGGGTGGGGGTCCCCACTGGGGTGCCTGGCCAGCCTGGATGAGGGGATGATGGCTGTTTGCAGCTGGTCACACACCCTTCAGGGTGGGGGTCCCCACTGGGGTGCCTGGCCAGTCTGGGTGAGGGGCTGAGGGCTGTTTTCAGGCTGGCGGGTGACTGAAGCTCCCAACCGCTCCTTTTTTTCTTTTTCTTTTTTTTATTCTGGGCCAGCTTTAGGTCTGGCTCCAGCTCTGAGGCTTCTGCTGCTGAAAGCAGGTATCTGGTTGGTTTGCGTTCTATAATCGATACACTGTATCAACTCCAGCTCTGAGATCCCGGCTGGCTGAAAGCGGGTTTCTGGGGTTTTGTTTAGCTTCTATATTTGTTACAATGTTTCAAACTGCAAGCTCAGAGGCCGGCAAGGCAGGCGGGGAATGTTGGAGTCCTCTGTCACTGAAGCAAGCAAGCCTCATGTTCGCTTTAAGCTGCCTGGCTGCCGGCCGCCATCTTGGCTGGCAGTTAATTTGCATATCGCCCTGATTAGCCAATGGGAAGGGTAGCGGTCTTACGCTAATTATCATGTTTCTCTTTTATTAGATAGGATTTTACCAGTTTGAGGGGAAAAGTAGATACTCCATATCTTACTTCAAAATAAATTTTGAATGGATCAAAGGTTTAAATTTTAATAAAAATAAAGGAGTAAGAGGTTCTTAGAACAGTAGAAGAAAGCATGGGTGCATTTATTTATAATCTTGGATTAGAGCAAGCCTGGACTTGTAAGCAGCTCCTTCAACCCCAAAGCCCTAAATGAAAATACATTTACTTATGTGCATACAAAAATTTAGAGCATTGTTATAATGCTTAACCCAGGGACTGAGGAGAGCAGAAGCAAAGTTTTAGAGAAAGACCTTCCTGGTTTCATTGAGCCTGATAAGGATTCCCAATGATGGAGCTCAGGGTTTCACTGGATCAGGTGTGGGTGAGGTGGGGCCCATAAAAAAGAGTCAGAAATGTCAGGGAAAGGAATTTAATCTCGGTCCAATCACCTTTTTGAAAGGAATACAATGCAAAAAGTAATTTAGAATAGGTAAGAATTAAGGGGTGCAGGGGTGCTTGGAAGACTGTTGCAATATTGGAGCCCATTCCTGTTCACCCTTAGGTGGGGTGACCCTGACTAGCCTGTGGCTTTGGGAAAATCTCTCAGGGTTGACCTGTTTTTACAGGTAAACTGAGGCAACTGGTCTAGAAGTTTTCAATAATGCCTATTTTGATCAAAGTCCTATAAAAAGCCACAGAGAGGGGTCAGATGCTTATCTTTGGTAGAATTTTCTAGAAAAGATGGGTAAAAAGTCCTTTAGAAGACCTGGCCTGAGAGAAGTGGAACCTGCCACTGGACCTACAACCTTCCTGCCAGGCCCCAGATAACCCCAACCTGCTCACTCCTCCTCCATTTCTCTTTTTGGCAATATCTCTAGAACATTCTTTCCCCGTGAAAGGAAGCATCTACTATGTACCTCATTGGGGCTGGCCTTCAAGGTGTCCAACATAAACTTGTAGATCTGAGGGTCAGGCTTGGCCATTCCAATCCGACATGACTCTATCAGGAAGTCAAAGTGTGGTCTCAGTTCACACATCAGCTGGGCCAGGCTGCTCCTCTGGGTGCTGTCATCCAGCCAGTTGTTGGTGAGGATGCAGGTTGTAAACCCTGAGCAAGAAGTCACCAGTGAATGGACCAGCTACAGAACTTTGTCCCGAGAAGCTCTGCCTGGAGCCAAGTAAGGTTCTACTCACTTACATCAATCTCCTGACACTGGGAAATAATCATCTTCACCCTTAAGCACCTCCTGACACGGGGACACGAGAGTGAGCCCACTGTGTATATTAAGGGCTTTCAGAAGCCCAGATGGAGATGCTGCATCTGCCTCCGGACTGTCCCTCCAGTACACCTTCCAGTCTGTGTTACTGCAAACTCTGCTCGACTGCATTTCAAAACACCTGCTTTGGCTTTCAGAGACTGATTCCCATTTCGAAATGCAAACAGAGACAGCAGTGCCCCCGGGCTTTCTCTGCCTAACCAGATGGAGCAAGAACCCCCAGATACTGGAGACGAGACACAGCTGAGTTGATGGTGTGACACTTCCCACATGATATGAGTGAGAAATATGGGGTGGCTTAGCCACAGTCAGGCAAGTCTACTGATAAATGGGTGGAATGATTTCAAATACGCTCATGAAGATTTGGGCTCTGACATTAAATAAATTGCCATTGAATGAACATGATCTCATGTCTTAGACCAGTGGTCGGCCAACTCATTAGTCAATAGAGCCAAATATCAACAGTACAATGATTGAAATTTCTTTTGAGAGCCAAATTTTTTAAACTTAAACTATATAGGTAGGTACATTGTTATTAACTTAATTA